CTTCATGGTTTAGAACTTTTTAAAATGAACCTTCCACTGCAATGAGATAACAAGGTGTAGAGCTGGATGAACACAGCAGGCCAAGCAGCATCAGAGGAGCAGGAAGGCTGACATTTCGGGCCTAGACCCTTCTTCAGAAAATCCACTGCAGTGACCTAGTTTTAAATAGTTGTAACTATCCTTTTTCTCGGGAGAAACAGTTTTACACAATCAGATTCAGTCAAACTTCTGCAAACTTGAAATACAAAAGCTTTCTTCAAGCTATGAGTATTCTCCCTAATCAAAAAGAAATTGAGCTCTGTCCTACTAAGCTGATATCATAACGCCAACAGTTTACTTTGAAATGTAGGCCTTTATTTCAAAGGGGAAGAGAATTAAGGTAGAGGGGATGGTCCAGCTATGGAATTCTTTACCACAGAGGACTGTTGAAGCTGGATCATTAAGCATATTCAAGGTTGAGAGAGGCAGATTTTTAACCAGTAAAGGAATCTAAGGTAATTGGGGGAGAAACAGAAAAGTGGAGTTGAAAACTATCAGATCAGCCATGATCTCATTGACTGACAGAGTGGACTCGATGGACCAAGTGCTTTCTGCACCTATGTCTCGTAGTTCTGATGATTTTTTTTTTTAAATCTAGATTTCGGTGTGTTTTCTGGTTGAGGCAAAACCTTTAACTCAGTTAAAATCTGAAACTGAAGGCTGTCTTCTCCAGTTTTTCAGACCAGGTGCTGGAACGGGATCTTTGAATGGCTAACAAGTTTTTTTTTCTTCCAGTTGTCACAGGCACAATAGCCAAGTGATCTTTTTCTGAGTTGTATAATTTCTATGGTGAACTGATTTGCTTACAAATGCACCTCTTTAAAAATACCAAATGAAAATGTAGTAAATGTAAAAATGACTTTATATTCAGTTTATTCATATGTTACAATGGCCTGTGTACCGTGAAAGGTATGAAAAATGTTGGGAGTTTAGTCCAGGAAAACGTAGAAAGCATTTTCTACTTTGTGTTCTGTCTTCAACTAAAGTGCAATAATTGTGCCAGTGCATTTGGAGAGTTAACTTGCTTAACGAGTTTTGCCATATTTACAAGGTCTAAAGATTCTTTGACAGGGAGTTCATGGTGTCAAATGATGGTTTGCCCAGACCTGTATGGTTTTCTGCTCTAGTGTGACCGAACTCTGCTCTGTTTAGTTGGGCCAACCATATGTTTGTCAGCTTCAGAATTAACAGCCAAGAACCTTGGCTTATCACTGGCATTGTTTTATTGGATTTGCTATTCTGCCGCAGGTGTGGCTGACAACTTCAACATAATCAGAATTTCGGGGTTATCTAAATTTGATTAATCATAATTTGAGTATACCACTACGTTTTACATATTTTGCTACTATAAAGGAGCAGGCTGGAGACGATAGGGTGGGTTTTGTGGTTTTTGTTATTTTATTATTTAATTATTCTTTTCATTATAGCGATGAGAACCACTCCAAATCACCGATTAGTATATTTACAGTGAGGCCAAAGCTTTGGTAACACTTTTAATGAAAATGCAGAAAGCTTCCTGCTAACTGGCAGTTGCTATTGTACTTTCATGTCTTTTCTATCACGCATGACCTGACCTGTCCAAAAGGCTCAACCATCTTTTCTCCCCAAACCGCAGCTAAGTAATTGGCTCTGATGTGTTGGATCTGCATGCAGCAAAAAGAGCTGTTGTAAGATGTTTTCCCAGTTGTTGCTTTTGGAAGCACAAAATTTATTTGAAAGTTTTGCATGTGTAGTCTTTAAGGATGAGCTGAGAAGGATTATAAATGTTGACATGTCCTCTGATCAATTTAGTTCACAATTGCTGATAGACCTGCCCTGTTTTTCTTCAAATATGTTGTCTAAAGATTAAGCATGATCAATAAAAGGGTAATTCAAAGGATTTGGCATTGAATGAACTACTTTTGAAATCATCCCCATTATAATGTAGGAAACATCATGGAGAGTTTACACACCACCATGGGCTCCACAAAGAATAATAAGATGATGTTTTTTTCTGAAGAAGGGTCCAGACCCGAAACATCAGCCTTCCTGCTCCTCTGATGCTGCCTGGCCTGCTGTGTTCATCCAGCTCCACACCTTGTTATCTCAGACTCCAGCATTGGCAGTTCCTACTATCTCTGATAGATAAGTACTGCCTAGGACACTGGAGAAAGATAGCCTGCTGTTGCTTGAGCAGTGCCTTAGAATCTTTTGCATCAACCTCATAGGGCTTTGGTTTTATTCTCATGAGGGAACTTGTTTAAATTTTTGGGAGCAAGCAATTGCCATGATATAAATGTTGGCAGATACTGTTTCAGAAGACTGGAGTATTTATGTTACATGAAAACACCTGATGGGTGTTGAGTGATGAGAACTTGGTGTGACAATGTAGATATTAAATTATAGAAGATATATATGGTTTTGAGTGACTGAGTTCTTACGGGGTGATTTCATTAGAGGTGATGTTGAAGGCAAGAATGAGAAACTAGTAGAGTTTGAAAACTAGTGGTGGATTGTGAGTGGTGATATCAAGTCCATTGACATATCTAAAGTGAGTATACATATGTTCGTGCCACAAAATGCCAGACAAAGCGCATCTCCAAATCAACTATCAGTCCTTTACATGCAACAAATTACCATTGCTGAATCGTGCTATAAACATCCTGCACGTTCTCTTTGACCAGAAGATGAACTAGATCAGTTATGTAAATGGTCTGGCTACAAAAAAAACAATTCAGCAGCTGGTAATTTTTTTTTAAATTTTGCGGTGCACAAACCTTCAAGTTCCAAGCACAGCATCAGCTTCCAAAACCAGAAGTCAGTACATTGGCACCCCAACCAGTATATGTGCAACCTCAGAGCAGCTGTGCATCTTAGAGGGAGCATTGCTTGTGTGATGCTAATGTTATTCGTCACTTGTCCTCAATATTGTGCAGTTCTTGGTGCACTTGCACATGGACTGCCTCAGTACCCGAGCAGTCGGGATATCTCATTTCATTATTTTGAAGGGCAGTGTGTGCCATTTGCAGACATTCACCAAGGTTTCTTAGACAGCACCTTCCAAACCCTTGAATACCACCATTTAGAAGGGCAAGGCATGGGAGCACCATCATTTACAAGTCCCCATCCAAACCACACACCATCCTGACTTGGAAATATGTTACTGTTCCTGCAGAGTCATTGCATCAAAATCTTGGAATCCCTGTCCTAATTGAATTGTGATCCACCAAAAACACATGACTGCTGTGGTTCAAGAAGGAAAGTCACCACCCTCTAAAGGGCAACAAGTGTTGGGCAATAAATGCTGATCCAGATGGTGATGCCTCGATCCCCGAATGAGTCTTGTAAAAAATCCATCCAAGAATACAAATGGGACCTTTTTAAAGGGAGTCGAACCTGGAACCTTGTGACGTAAAAAAACAGGTTTTAAAAAAAGCAGCAGCAAGTAAAACCAGCAGAGTCAAGCTGGCCCGGCTGCTGACAGTCAATTTTGCAGTAAATTAATTCCTTTTAATATTTAGCATATGTGCCTGTAGAAGGAAAATGTAATTTTATGTCACTGTTTGAACTGTTGCCGTAGTTAGAAACTTGCTGTGTTCATTATTTCAGTCTGGTATTTGACTGCTTTCATGAGCTGATCTTGCTTCAAGTGAGATTTTTAAAATCAGCATTTTAAAATTTTGCAGTTTTTTTTTAAGATTTCCTAAAATTTATGTCCTAGTTTGATTGATTCCAGTGGGAATTTTTTAAATTATTTATTCATTTGTGGGATGTGAGTGTTGCTAGCTGGCCAGCATTTATTGTCTGTCCCGAGTTGCTCTTGAGAAAGTGGTGGTGAGCTGCCTTCTTGAGCTGCTGCAGTTCACCTGCTGTGGGTTGACCCACAATGCCGTTAGGGAGAGGATTCCAGGATTGTGAGCCAGCAACAGTGAAGGTACGGCAATATATTTCCAAGTCAGGATGGTGAGTGGAGGGGAACTTGAAGGTGATGGTGTTCCCATATATCTGCTGCCTTTGTCCTTCTAGATGGAAGTGGTTGTAGGTTTGGAAGGTGCTGTCTGAGGATCTTTGGTCAATTTCTGCAGTGTGTCTTGTAGTTAGTATACACTGCTCAAGAGCATCAGTGGGAGAAAGCGGATGGGGTGCCACATCAAGTGGGCAATTTTGTCTTTGGTGTCAGGCTTCTTGAGTGTTATTGGGGCTACACTCATCCAGGCAAGTGGCGATTATTCCATTACACTGCTGACTTGTACCTTGCAGACAGTAGATAGGCTTTGGGGGTTAGGTGTGTTACTCACCACAGTATTCCTAGCCTCTGACCTTCTGTCGTGGCCACTGTGTTTATGTGGTGAATCCAGTTGAGTTTCTGGTCAGTGATGACCCCCAGGATGTGATGAGAAGGAAACTCCTCGGTCATAAATGCTTAAATCCATGTCCCCTGGAATTTCCATAAAACTGAAATTACTGATTCTAGCAATTGTGTTCTCACTTTTTGGATTTGCTTATCAGTGAGCTGACAGGAGCAGTTCTTGGCAAATCTCGGTGCAAATTCAAAATAAACAGTATTAACAAAATAAAAAAAAAACAAATTAGTTGCATAGATCATAAAGTCAGATTTAGTGGTTTAATAAGCAGAACAGCTAATGACTTTATGATCAGTGATATTGCATGGAGTAGGGTCGACCAGGCTTCACATTCCTGATTGTCCATTTTTCTCTGTAGATTTTTTACTGTGTATTAATTGTGGTGTCTAGCATGGTACAATAGCATAAAATCGCTTACTATCTTCTTCATTGCAAGTATCAATATGCCATTAACACAAGATCATTGGAGCAGTATTTAGATGACAGTTTACTCAACATGGTTTTCCAGAACATAAATGAAGTGTGGCTGTCGCGTACTTTTTATTCAAAGCTATGTACTGAGATATTTTGAATTGCGGCAATTGATGGTCAGTCTTGTTTTCATTTTCTTTTCTGCAGGGGATGTTGAAGAAGAAAAGATGGAAACTCAGGAATCTGAAGGGCAAGAACCTGAAAAGGTGAGTGAAATAGTGCTCATTACATCTAAAAATACTTGAAGGGGAGATTTTATTGTTGAAATACACTAATTGAAGAATTCATTTTTGCTCAAGAGATAACATCCAGAGCCATAACCAGTTAATCTTTGTTTGAAGTCTCATTTGAAAACATTTCCCCAACAGTTCCTCACTGATGAATTCTTGGCCTCTGACCTACTCTTATGGCCACAGTATTTGTATAGTACTGAGCCTCATTCTGTGCAGATGTAAGTAGGACAGGCTTCGTTGCACTACAAAAATGTGCAGGGAATACAAGTGTTTAGAAATTAATGCTGCTATCTGATGCTGTTATCAAGGGACAGCATGTAGATAAAAGTTGAAGGGAATGCTTGAAGTATGGGAAAATGAGGCAACAGGATGAAAAACCTTTGGAAGTGAATTTCTGACTAATTACATTGGCAAGCATGTAATCAGGTGAGAGCAGCCCCATCCAGCTGGATAACAATGAGGAGGAGGATAATGAGGTCAAACATTCCACAAGCTGTAAAGAGGTTGAGAAAGAAGAGGAGGAATAGTTTGATATTGTGGCAGGAGAGGAAATCTGATTAGAGGGTTTCACATATAAAGTACCAAACAAAATTGAGTTGGATTTCAGAGATGAGAACTTTTTTGTAAGTATTTCATGAGGAAGGGTAAATTGCAAACGGAATAGTAGTTTTCAAGGCTTGTGGGTATCTCTGGCTATGTCAGCATTTATTGCTCATACCTAGTTGCCCAGGGGAAAGTGGTGGTGAGTACCTATCGTTTTAAGAGATGGTGACAAGACTTGGAGAGAGTGTCATTCACAGTATCAGCTAACATGGTGCCTAGGAAGAGAGTTAGGTTTGAGAGATTTTCAGGGAACAGGTTCAAGGGAGCAGTGAAGATGAGCTTGAACCCAAAATTTTCATCCTTGTGTTTGAAACTGTTTTTTTTTTTGTTATTTTGTGCTTCCTATGTCTGAACTCATTTTAAAAACTGAAAGAACTGCGGATGCTGTGAATCAGAGACAAAAATAGAAATTGCTGGAAAAACTCAGCAGGTCTGGCAGCACCAGTGGAGAGAAATCAAAGTTAACATATCAGGTCAAGTGACCCTTCCTCAGAACAGAACTGAACTCATTTTGTCTTGCAACCTTCCAAACTTGGGCTTCCTGTACTTGTCATGTTTTGTGTGTCCCTCGTTTGCTTTTGTCATCCCAAGGGTGCTAGCTTCTTTAGCTGTCGAGGTTTGTTGTTCCATCGATTAAATCTAGAAATTTTTCTCTCCCCTTAAAATGTTCTGTAAATGTATAGTTCATCTTGAAATTCTATTTATAAATATTACCTTTTCAAAATTCTACACAGCAATTGGTGTGATTCCAAATACTGATAGCATTCCCCAATTTCGAAAAGAGCACTTTAGAGAAAAGTTTCATTTTCTCTCTTAGAAAATTGCCTCATCAATTTAACCCTTCCAGTCAGGTTTGTCAATTTTAGTCTGGTTTTGCTGCTGCAGAGACCTGCTAATAATTTGCTTAGTTGAGCTGAAAAAAAAATCTCGTGATGAGTTTCCGAAAGTAATTTGCATGTAATTCTAACATAGAAACAGGCCACTAAATCCAACATAAAACAGTACAACGCAAGAACAGGTCCTTTGGACCATGATGCCATTCTAAACTAATCCCATCTGCCTGCAGATGGTCCATTTTCCTCTATTCCCTGCCAGTTCGTATGTATACCTAAATGCCTCAAATGTTGATATCGTGTCTGCCCACCTTCCTGATGGTGTGTTCCAGGCACCTACCACCCTCTGAGGAAAAAAATAAGCTTTGTTTGTATATCTCCTTTGAACTTTTCCTTTCTTATCTTTAAATCTATGCCCTCTCATATTTGACACTTTCACACTGGGGAAAAAGACTCCGACTATCCATCTTTATCCATGCCGCTCAATTTTAAGTGCTTCTATTGGTCTATGTTTTTGCTAGAGCACTGGAAACAATCAAAGTTTGTCGAACTGCTCCTTAAAGCTAACACACTCAAATTCGGGCAATATTCTAGTAAAGAGACAACAAGGTGTAGAGATTGCATTTCTGAAGAAGGGTGCAGACCCAAAACATCAGCTTTCCTGCTCCTCTGATGCTGCTTGGCCTGCTGTGTTCATCCAGCTCTACACCTTGTTATCTCAGATTCTCCAGCATCGGCAGTTCCCACTATCTCTGAATCAATATTCTAGTAAACCTCTTTTGCACCCTCTCCAAAGCCTCCACATCTATCCTATCTATAACTGCACACAATACTCCAAATGTGACTAGACTAAAGTCTTATGCAACTGCAACGTGACTTGCCAACTTTTAAAGTCTGATGAAAGTAAGCATGCCATAAAGCCTTCTTTACACCTTATTCACTGTGTTGCCACTTTCAGCTGTTGACTTGCCTCCTAAGATCCCTCTGTATTTCAGTGCTGCTAAGGTTCCTTTAGTTTACTAATATAACAAATGACAGAGGTCCCAGCACTGATCCTTGCAGAACACCATTGGTCACAGACCTCCAGTCAGAAAAACACCCCTTAGCAAGGGAGGCTGGGAGACCACTTTGTAGAGCACCTGCGCTGTGTTCGTGGCAAACGACAACACCTTCCAGTCACAAACCATTTCAGCTCCCCCTCCCACTCCCTTGGGCGACATGTCTATCCTGGGCAGCCTCCACTGTCACAATGACACCACCCGGAAACTGGAGGAGCAGCACCTCATATTTCCACCTTGGGAGCCTACAACCCAATGGTCTCAACGTTGACTTTACCAGTTTCAAAATCTCCCCACCCCCGGCTTCATCCCATGACCAACCCTCCCTCTCATCCCCGCCTCCTTGACCTGACACAACCTGTCTGTCTTCTTTCCCACCTATCCGCTCCTCCCACCTCACTGACCAATCCCCACCACTGCCTGCATGCACCTACCTACCTATCACCATCCCACCTACCTTCCCCAGCCCCATCCCTCCTCTCTCTATTTATTTCTGAGCTCCCTTCCCCCTCCCCCATTTCTGGAAAAGGGTCCTGACCCAAAACATCAACTTTCCTGTTCCTCTGATGCTGCTGGGCCTGCTGTGCTCCTCCAGCTCCACACTGTGTTATGTCTGACTCCAGCATCAGCAGTTCTTACTATTTCTGAGTGTATTCAATTGCGTCTTGTCTTTTACCAGGTTGAAAAAGAGGAGACTCCAGCAACTTCTGAAAGTGCAGAGAAGATGCAAATCCCATCTCCCAAGGAGCTGGCATCAGAGAAACCCATAGAAAGTGAAGCTGCCAGTACTGACATTAAGCCAAGTAAGTGGATGAAGTGCCTGTTGTGGATTCAGTTACTTTGAGTTGGATGCTAAACAGAAATAGTAATTGAATGTTTCTGTTTGTTTTTTGATTGCAAGTGTTTTGTAAAGTAAGATGAGAGGTAGATAGGATAGTGAAGATGATGTTTGGTATGCTTGCCTTTATTTGTCAGTGCATTGAGTATAGGAATTGGGAGGTCATTTTGTGGCTGTACAGGATATTGTTTAGGCCACTTTTGGAATATTGTGTCCAAATCTGGTCTACCTGCTATGGGAACGATGTTGTGAAACTTGAAAGGGTTCAGAAAAGATTTACAAGGATGTTGCCACAGTTGGAGGGTTTAAGCTATAGGGAGAGGCTGAATAAGCTGGGCCTATTTTCCCTGGAGCATCGGAGGCTGAGGGGTGACCTTTATAGAGGTTCATAAAATCATGAGGGGCATGGATAGGGTGAATAAACAAGGCCTTTTCCCCAGTGCGGGGGAGTCCAAAACTAGAGGGCACACATTTAAGGTGAGAGGGGAAAGATTTAAAAGGAACCTAAAGGGCAACTTTTCACACAGAGGGTGGTGCATGTGTGGAATGAGCTGCCAGAGGGAAGTGGTGAAGGCCAGTATAATTACAACATTTAAAAGGCATATGGATAGGAAGGACTTTGAGGGATATGGACCAAACGCTGGCAAATGGGACTAGACTAATTTAGGATATCTGGTCGGCATAGATGAGTTGGACCGAAGGGTTGCTTTCCATGGTGTACATCACCACGATTCTGAGTGTGACAAATGTGAAAAGTTTGTGAAAAGGCACAGTAGTATACAGCTGTGAGGGAGTTGCCCTGGGATTCTTCAGCTGTGGACCCCATGAAGTCTTGTGGCCTCTGGTTAAACATGGGCAAGGAAATCTCCTGCTGATTAACATGTCCTGTCCTCCCTCAGCTGATGAATACGTACTCCTCCATGTTGAAAAGCACATAGAGGAAGCATGGAGCTTGGCAAGAGTGCTAAAGGTCCTCTGGGCGGAGGGTTTCAATGTCCAAAGTGATGAGTAGCTCGCAGAAGCTCTACTCATCAAGCTGCTCAGATGCTAAAAGATGTAGCTGCTAGTCTGGGTCTGTGACAGATGGTGACAGAACGAACACAGAGGGAAAATGTACTTGCCAACTGCAGACGCATCTGTCTATGACCGTATTGGTAAAAGTGACCACCGCACAGTCCTTGTGGAGACCATATCCTATCTTTACACTGAGAATACCCGCCATCCTGTTGTGTGATACTGTCAACGTGCTAAATAACTTCAAACAGATATAGCAACTCAAAACTGAGTACCCGTGAGGCTTTGTGGACCGTCAGCAGCAGCAGAATTGTACACCAGCACAATCTGCAACCTATTAGCCTGGCATATCCCCAACTCAACCATTGCCATCAAGCCAGGAGAGCTACCCTGGTTCAACGGAGAGTCCAAGATGGCAAGCCAGGAGCAGCACCAGGCATACCTAAAAATGAGGTGTCAACCTGGTGAAGCTACCAAACAAGACCACTTGCATGCCAAACACCGTAAGCAATAAGGGAAAGAGCTAAGCGACCCCATGACCAGGTCAGATCTGAGGTGTTTTGAAGAAGGGTCACTGGAACTGAAATGTTAACTCTGCTTTCTTTCTACATATGCTGTCAGACCTGCTTGCGCAAAATCTGTTTTTGTTTCTGATTTCCAGCATCTGCAGTTCTTTGGGCTTTTTTTTGGATCAGGTCCAAGCTCTGCAATCCTGCCACATCCAGTAGTGAATGGTGGTGGACAACTAAACAACTCACTGGAGGAGGATACTGCACAATTAGCCCCATCGTCAATTATGGAAGAGCCCTACATATGAGTGAAAAAGATAAGGCTGAAGCATTTGCAACAATCTTCTACCAGAAGTAGATGAATCTTCTTTGCCGCCTCCAGTATTCAGCTTCCCAGCATCACAGATTTCCAGTCTTCAGCCAATTCGGTTCATTCCACGTGATATCAAGAAATAAAAACAAAGTTGCTGGAAAAGCTCAGCAGGTCTGGCAGCATCTGTGGGAGAGAAAACAGAGTTAACATTTCGGGTCCGGTGACCCTAGAGTCTACTTTAGCCAAGCTGTTCCAGTATGGTTACAACTCTGGGATCTCCGTGACAATGTGGAACAGGTATGTCCTGCACACACAAAATGCAGGAAAAATCCAACCCGGTCAGTTACCATCCCATCCGTCTACAGTCGATTATCGGTAAGGTGATGGAAGGTGTCATCAACTGCAATATCAAGCAGCAGCTGCTCAAGAATAATGCGCTCAGTGACACCCATTTGAGTTCCACAAGGGCCGCTCAGCTCCTGGCCTCCTTACAACCTTGCTTCGAGCATGAACAAAAGAGCTGAATCCCAGATGTGAGGAGAGTTTGACGGCCTTTGACATCAGGGCTGCATTTGACCGAGTGTAGTATTAAGGACTCCTAGCAAAATTGGAATCAATGAGTATCAGGAGCAAACTCTCTGTTGATTGGAGTCATATAAGGCACATAGGAAGACTATTGTGGTTATTGGAGGTCATCGTCTCATCTCCAAGGCATCTCTCCAGTTGCTTCTTAGGGTAGTGTTCTAGGCCCAACTATCTTCCGCTGCTTCAACAATGACCTTCCCTCCATCATGAAGTCAGAAGTGGGATGTTTGCAGATGATTGCACATTGTTCAGCTTCGTTCCTGACACCTCAGATACTGAACCAGTCCGTGTTCAAATGCAACAAGATATGGACAATATCTAGGCTTGGGCTGATGCGTGGCAAGTAACATTTGCGTCACACAAATTCCAGACAATAATCATCTCCAATAAGAGACAATCTAACCGCCACCATTTGACATTTAATGGTGTTACCATCACTGAATCCCCACTACCAACATCTTTGGGGTTACCATTGTCTAGAAATTCAATTCAGTTCGCTGATAAACACAGTGGCTGCAAGAGAAGGTCAGAGGCAAGGAATACTGCAGCAATAACTCACCTTCTTACTCCCCAAAGTCTGCCCCCATCTGCAAAGCACAAGTCAGGACTGTAGTAGAATACTTCCCACTTGCCTGGATGAGTGCAGCCTGAACACTCAAGAAGCTTGACACCATCCAGCATAATGCAGCCTGCTTAATTGGCACTACATCCATAAGCATCTATTCCCTCCACCACCGTTGCTCAATAGCAGCAATATGTACCAACTACACAAATGCACAAGATGAACAATAGAAACAGAAGTTTGTTATTCAAAAGCATTTCTTTTTTAAAAAAAAAAAAAAACTATAAATATTAGACAGTCAAAATTATCTTACACATGTCGCAAAACAAAGTTTGAACCTGATTCTTGATAGAAGAAGTTTGGGTCAGAGAAATTACACCCCTGTATCAACTCTTCACGGTTGTACTTAAATGACTCTTGTAACTGATTAATCAATGATGAGGTCTTCCCCAATTTTAAAATGAGAGGTTTTATTGCAAACTGATATGTCTTTAACTTTATAGACATCTAGTTTTAATTAATAAAGAGAGACAGAGATAAATGTGTCCTTAAGTCTCCTCCTAATTTAGTGCAACCTGGCAAACTGGTACTTGAATTTTAACAAAGCTTAGCAGTTTGATCTGCATGGCTGCCAATTTAAAAAAAAACTGGAATCGGAAGTGTTAAAATCATGATTTCATTAAAGGGACAGTAGTGCCTCAGGAGGCAGTGGCTTGTGGCATTGTCTGTGACTTGTGGCATTGTCTGTGACTGGTAATCCACACCACCATGTTAAATGTTCTGGGGACTAGGGTTTGAATCCTACCATGGCAAATAGTCTAATTTTATTTCAGAAAAATGTCTGGAATTAAAACTGGTCTAATAGCAACCATATAATCTCTTTTATTGTTGTTTTAAAACAAATATCTGGTTTACTAATGTCAATTGGGAAGGAAGCCTGCTGTCCTTGCCTGATGTAGCGTACCTGTAATGCCAAACCCGTAGCAATTTGAGTTGACTCTTCATCATCCTCTGTAATGACCGAGAGAGCAATCCATTTAAGAGCAGCTAGGTCCGGACAACAAATGCTGACCTTGCCAGCAACACCTGCTTCCCATAGAAGAATAAATAGAAAAAATTACATTGCAGCATTGGGTCACCAGCAGCTTGTGTTCTCATAACTGCTGGTCAGATTTTATCTGAGCGTATGTTCCATGTGAAGCCACTTTCAATCTAAGTGATAACAGTTCAGTCAAACTCTGTGCAATGTTGCAAGATATTCCAGCAGTGTTAAGTATGCAGCTTTTCTCTTGTGCAGTACAGAATGGGAATGAAACAAATGTGACACTGTTGCAGGAAATATCAGTTCTTGAGCTATTTCTAAGTAGGAATAGGCCATACAGGTCAAGGAAAGTTGAATGACAGATGTGTGTGCAAATATTTATTGAGATTCAACTTGATTGTGAATCTCCATTTATGACAATTGATGCTAGTTCCATATTTGTAATTTAGACAGTTTCAAAACACTCAACAAAACGTGGTTGTTCTTTGTGGATTATTCCATCAAGGTTGCATTTTTGACCATTACGAACTGCCCTGCAAAGGCGGTGCTCAACATTTATATTATTAATTATGGGCCACCTCCTAAAAGTTGTAAAGATCATTTAGTTCAATTCTGAAGTTGCATCCTGGATGGGGCTGCCAAATTTGTTTACCAGAAGGAGGTGAACAGGTTGGGTTTTAAAATCCAACAGCTTTTCATGCTTGTTTCTCTGGTTCCAGCTTTTAACCTATTTTAAAACGGGAGCATAAAATTAACCTTGATTAGAGATTTAAAAAACTGCAGATGCTGGAATCCAAGGACGACAAGCAGGAGGCTGGAAGAACCACTAAGCCAAGCAGCATCTGGAGGAAAGGAGCAGTCGGTGTTTCGGGTGTAGCCCTTCTGGATTTTGCCAGTTCAGAAAGAGGGTTATACGCGAAACGTTAACTGTTCCTTTCCT